GCTAAATTATATGTAAAATCTTTTTTCTTAAATATTACTTTTAAAATTCTTTATATTTATATTTAAACGACTATTTTACATTTAATAGTAAATAGAAATTTATATATTATATTCTTTAAAGTCAAAGCTTATAATAATAATTTATTTAATAATAAAGTAAATTTATTAGTTAAATAATCTACTAATAATCCTTTTTATATCAATCCTAATTATTTTAAACTAAAATACTTATTATATTATAATTTAATACTAATTATTATTTCTCTTTATTTATACATTAAATATAAACATAAATGTTTTAGACTGAAATTCTCTTAACTCTACTATAATTTATCCTTATCTTATTCATTATATTACTAATCTACATTTTCTATGTGTTAAATAATTCTAAAAATTTAATAGTAATATTCTTTAATACCTATAAAAGAAATAACTTAAAATTAAATTAGATTTATAACTTTTTTTAACTTTAGAAATTATGAATATATAATATCTAATATATATATATCAAATATTTGTTTCTATTATAATTCTATATTTAGCTTATCCAAAAATTTTTTTACTTTACGTAATATTATTTAATAATATAAATAAACCTTTATATCATAATTAAAAGATCTTAATAAATCTAATAATAATACATATTAATAAATATTGATTATTAACAGTTTGATTATCTATTTATATTTATAATAGTTTATGATTTATAGACTTTATAAAAGGAATTACTTTTTTATTTTTTTCATTATTTATTAATAATATTATTTTTAATAGACAATTATTATTAGGTTTACTTTCCTTTTTTTTTAATAATATCTTTATATTAATTTATAACATTTGATTAAAAAGATGTAAATATTTACAATTATAGAAAATTTTGAATAATATCAAGGATGATTTTACTGTTTTATAAGTTTTCTTTTGCTTTTTTTATATATTATAAATACTATTTATTAACCTTCCTCTTTCTTAACAACTTTTACTTATAATATATATTGATCAATTTTTAATTTAATAGTAATCACACCTTTTCTTTTAGATGTTTAATATCTGTATATTAATTTAGTTTAATTTAGTTTACTTTTCTTTTATTCTCTAATAAATAGTTTAGTTTAATAAAATGCAAGATTCATATTAATAAAGTAGTTTAGATTAGTTTATAAATATTATATTTTAATTTAATTTACTTGTAAATTCTTAAATATTAATAATAATTATGCAAAATTATTACATTTAAAAAATAAAAAATATATTTTTTCATATTTTTTTTTAGATGTAATACTACCTATAATATTAGAAATTATATATTAAAATTAAATTATATTAAATTAATTACTTTTTGCAAATTTTAATATAAATATTTTAAGTTTAAATAAAACTCATTTAATTTTATTTTTTATTAGATTTTTTAATCAAATTCTCATAATAATCTATTTAAGTATTTATTTTATTTTTTAAAATAAAATCAAAATTATCAATATATTAGAAAAATAATCTTTTTTTTTATATTTTCATTAAAGATTCTTTTTTAATTATATATTTTTTTTAAATTTTAATTTATAAATAAATTTAAATTTTAAATTATTCAAATTTATTTATTCACATCATATCATGATAAAAAGATTTTTAAATAGCAAATTCGGATTTAAAATATATTAATAATAAATAATATAATTCAAATCTTATAAATATAATAAATAATTTTAATATTGATATTAATAGAAATTAAATATTAATAATAATTTCAAATTTTTCTTTATAATATGATACTATTATTCCTTTTAATTTTATTTACCTTTTATCTTTTTTTTTTTAATTTTAATCTTATATATAAACTATATTTTTATTTTATTTAATATCTTTAATGATTTTTTTTTTATTTTTTAGATTATTTTTTTCTAATTATTATTCTTTATAAAAAAAATCTATTTACATAAATCTTTTTTGCTTATTAAAGATAATATAAAATTACTAAATAAATATTTTTTTTATAATAAAACTACTAATTTATATTAGAATATTTTTATTAAAAATAAATTTATTACTTAAATAAAATTTAAATATTACTTATTGTATATACAGTTAATTCTTATTATAATAAATTATCCATTTAGATTAATCATTATTATAAGAAAATTTGTTATTATTATAATTAAAAATAATACTGCAACTAATTGCAATTAATAATAAATAAGTATTATAAGATTGTAACTAATTATAATATTAATAAAAATTAAGTTATAACTAATTACAACTGGTGATTAAAATTTTAGACGAGTCGAGTTAACTCATGAGTCAGATAAGCTGAGTCAAGTATAAATTAAATTGAGTTTATGTTTTTTTTGACTTGATGATTTGTGAGTTAAGCCAAATTCAAGTTGAGTTAAACATTTAATTCAACTTGATTCGAGTTGACTCAAGTGGATTTGAATGATAAAAATCGTTTGACTTGAATGATAAAAAATTCATTCAAGAAGAACAATAACAAATCGTTCACTTTCTCCTCCCTTCTTTCCAATCTTTTCAGTTTTTTTTTATTTTTTTTTCAAAATTGAATCAAGTTAAAATTGAGTTGAGTCAAATTGCGTCGAGTTTAAAATTTATATAACTCGAATTAAATCAAATTGAAAAATTTTATAAAATAAATTTAACTTAACTCAACTCGAAAAAAGAGAGTCGAATAGAGTTGATCTTTAAACTCAATTCGACTTGACTCATTTAGAACTCTACTGGTGATAAATAAATATTATATTGTTATAACTAATTATAATAGTATCTTTAACTATAATAAATAATTTGTTTTAATAATAATATCATTAATTAGACCAATTAGAGTGATCTGAATAATTATATGGCAATAAGTTAAAAAAAAAATTTTTTTTTTTAAAAATAATTTTTTATTTATTTTATTAATTAAATTTTTTAATTAAAGTTAGAGGAGTATTATATAATTGACTAATTAGTAAGATTTTTATTTTGATTATAGCAAATAGATTTATTTAGTATACATAATTTAATACTTGGTTTAATATTTATTCTATTAAGTGTGAGTAAATTATAATATATTTAATTATAATTTGATTATGATTATTTTTATTATATAGAAAACTATCAAAAATTGTAGATAATCTAAAAAAAAAGAAAGTTTATAAGAAGAAACTAAATATTAAAGTTATTAAATTTAAATATATTAAGAAACTAATGAATATATCACAATTTATAAGATGTATTAACAAAGTTCTAGATATATAAAAAAGTTTTTTTAATTTTTTTTTTTTAATTTTTTTATTTTAATTATTTTTTTAAAATTCATTATTTTATTTTTTTATTTTTTTATCTTATTTTTTTTTTAAAAATTAATTATTTTTTTTTTTATTTTTATTTTTAATTTTATATTTTTATTTTTTTTATTTTATTTAAGATTGACTTAAATCTGATTTATTTGTATTCTATATTCTTAAAATTAATACTGGTAAACATATTTTTTCTTAGATAGGTTGGATAGCTCTTTAAAAATATTTACTAATATTTTTTTATTTCTTTTGTAAAATTAACTTTTTTTTTGAATTCTGAATTCTTAAGACTATTATCAATAAGTAAATTTTTTTTTAAATAATCTAGACAGCTTCTTTAAAAATATTTACTAATGTTCTTTTATTTATTTTATAAAACTGGATTTTGAATTTTTAGGATCAATATTAGTAAATTTCTTATATTGAGTTAGATGGCTTTTTAAAAAATATTTATAAATATTCTTTTTATTTCTTTTTTAGAATCAGCTTTTTTTTTTACAATAAAATTTATTTTTCAAAATTTTCATTTTATTAAAAGATTTGTTATAAATAAATTTATTATAAAAAAGATTATTATATATATATCTGTTTATAAAATTTTCTATGTATAATATTATAAGGCATTTAACTAGTAAAATTTATTATAATAAGATTTTTTAATAATAAAATTTGTATTATATCAAAGATTTATTATATTGTGAAATTCATTATATTAAAATTCATTATATTAAAATTCATTATATAAAAAGTTAACTATATTTTAAATAATCATTAAATACAATATGAAAATTTTTGTTTATATAATTATTATTGTTATAAAAAATATATTTTAAAATAAACAATATCTATTTATTATTTAGTATAATACTTTATATTTCAATTTAAATTTATTTATAAACAAATTCAAAAGTTATACAAATTATATTACAAATGCAAATTATTTTCTCTTTTCTTTTTTTCTAATTTATATTTTTTTTAATTTTTCTTATTATATAATTTAAACATTTTTTTTATTTTAAAATTTGCTATTAAACATTTATTATCTTTTTATCATTAATAAACTATTTTAATATTTAATTTTTATAGTTTTAAATAATTTGTAATTATTTATAATATTTACAATATTAAAATAATTAAATAAATTTTCTAATATAAAATAATTATGAATAATATAAAAATATAATTATTGTAAATGTGTAATATTTTTATTTAAATATATTTTATTATATTTAAATTGAATTATATATATCTGATTATAAAATATTAAAATTAAATAATTATAATAAAGGTTTAAATAAATTTAATTTATTAAAATTAATATATTATTCTTATTTCTGATAATAAAAAATAATTATAATAAACAAATATATGATTAAATATATTTACTATTTACAATCATTTTGTTTTTAATTATATAGAAGCTTTTTATAATTATAGTTATAAAATTAATAAAAAATACTTATATAATAAAATCTTTTATAAATACATTATTTGAAAAAATTACTAAGTATAAAATCAAAAGTAATGAATAATTATAAAAAAAGTTTAATTATATTAGTTATTTAAAATTATAAATCATTTTTTTTTTATATAATAGTATATTAATAATATTATTATAAGTATATATAAAATTAAGAATATAAATAAAATAAAATACTTGTATATATATATATTATATTTTTAATGAATGAATAATTTATTATATAATTAATAATATGTTGTAATTTTAGGTCTAGCTTCATCCCATGGTCCATGGATTTCACTAACAATAAAGAAAAACCAATTTTAAAAAAATAAAATAATTAAATTTCTTAATAATTAATACTTACTTTTTATATTTTTGTATCCAAATTAACCAAAAAGGACAAACAAAAGTAATAAAAACAATACCTAAAATAAAAAGGGTTACAATAGCTTTTGAAATATTTAAAAATAATAAAGTAGCTAATAAGAATAATAAACAAGTTAATGCTATATTGAATTTAGCTGAAAGACTCTATTTAAATGGATGTAAAACTTTCAGTAAATTTAGAAAAGTTTAAGACAATAAATAAAAAGTTTTCGAATGTTTAATTACTTTGGTATATCTTCGAAATATTGGAAACAAAGCAAACCATTCAATAGCAAATGACATTAATCCAAAGACATGAGAATTTGAAGGTAATCTTGAAGCTAGCAAAACCGAAGCAAATATGGCAGCATTCGTTGATAAAGATCCGGGAAACCTAGAATTAAAGCATAAAACTTAATACCTTGGAATATAATAATAATGAAATTAAATAAAATTTTTACTTGATATTTGTTCTATTCTCTGAACCATAATCATGAAACAACATATTTGCAAGGAATAAAATAACGGTTACAGCCCATATTGTATCACTACTTGTGTCTTTTGTTAAAGTTTTTAAAATTGGAGATATGCATAATAGTGTTGCAAAGAAAAGTACAGCTCCTTTTGCAGTTTTCCATCCTTATTTTAATAAAAAAAAATCTTTAAAATATATACATATTAAAAAAACGTAATTATAAAACTAATTAATTTACTTTTGTATTCATAAGATGGATCTGTTTTCGAAATACTTTTATCCCAAAAAATATATCCAATGATAGTAAATACGGTACCACTTATAATTAAATTTTGTGCCGATAGCATATCAAGATAAAGATATATGAATACTGCAATAAAAATTACTATACTACTTATATGTTGTGAGATTACACACGATTCTTTTAACACAGTCCAATAATCGTATGCTCTAACATTAACTAGGAAAAAAAAATTATCATTATTTAAAATGTTTATGGGATAATTTATTAGGAAGTAAAAAATTTCATTACCATTCTTTTGTAGTTCTTCGAGAAATGAACTATCTACGTAATTATCAGGATAATCTTGTTTTATCCATAGTAATTTACGCCATTGAGCTTTTTTTGTTGGTGAATTCGTCAAAGAATCCTAAAAAATTTTTTATAAAGAAATTAATTTTATAATAAAATTATATACAGTATATATATATATTTTTATAAGTAATTTACCCAATTTTTATTAACAGCGAGAAATCTACCTTAAAAATCGTTAAAAAAAGCTTCGAGTAATTTTAATTTAATTTTTTTTTTTTTGCTAAATACCTGTCAAATCCACAAGTGACACATTTATCTTCTTCACCTAGAAATCTGTATCCGTCAAAAGGACAAAATTTTATACTACTCATTTCTAACAAAATAGAGAATTTTTTTGAATCGCTATAATAATCGTGGCTATCTATGATCGACACTAATTTATTCAATAAAAAAGTAAATCTACCCTGAATCAGGTGATTCATACATACAACATTTAATTTTGTATCAATGTATTTATTAAGATTGCTAAACAATTATTGATTATGCGTACGTGTAATTTATTTAAATCTATGGGAAGGTTATGATATTTAATTTCATACAAAGGTCCAGTAAATGTTGATATTTTTTAACAATAGCAATTATTGCGCCAAGCTGCCTCCCTTAAATTATATCTACAAATATGATAATATTCGCGAGAGAAATGCTATATATAATTCATTAAAAAAAAAAAAAAATAAGAAAAAGTTTTTAATCTAATCTTTGATCAAAAAATTTTTTTTCCCTCTTAATAATAATAATTAATTAAAGGCCATAATAAACATTACGGTTAAAATATGTCCCAAAGTATTATAACCCTGATCGTTAACCATACAGCACAAACCATACTACCAAAAATATAAAGCCGCTAAACAATCTACCAACTCAACCTGGATTTTTCAGGTCGGGTCATGTCAGGTAACAGGTCGACCCGAACTAATTCAGAGTTCTAGTCACTATGGTCATTTTCATTTCAACGTTCCCTAACGCAAGTTATCAAGTGCATATCCTTAAGGTTGACCTTTCCTTCATTGGATTTAAGCTAGCTCATGTTTTGGCCTTTCCATCATTAGCTCTATTGAAGAAGGATAAACAGAAATAAAAATTATAGTCATGTGCAAATTCCTCAAACTAAGCCGAAGCGTCATTAAACATTCAGTAGTAGAGTTAGACCATTCTCGTCCTTGCTATTAGAGAACACATTTTCCTCTAACGTATTGACTATTTATTCAACCTTTCCTATCACCAACTTTGAAAGTATAGTGACGTATATGGCGTGATGGGATATTCTTCTACGAACGTAAAACGACAAACAAATAACTAATTTTTTACTTCGACTGCTCAAGAAAGAACATAACCGATCCCCATACTCAGTATTACCTGGTATTAGAGTGAGTTAAGCGGCTGGTAGATAGATAGATATTGTTTGCGTTCATTAGTAAAATAATAATTAAATGGTAATCACAGTTCCAAGTTTATTAATACCATATGCATTACAGAATTTTTATTTTTAAAAAAAAAATAATTAAATGAAAGACCTGTTGAAATAATAAAAAAAAATTCTCCAGATACTAAAACTTCCGTTAGTTACCTAATAATTAAAATATTTTAAAATAGGGTTAGATAAATCTAAGCAAGCCACTAAATAGATAAATAAACAAAAAAGAGAAGGACGTTCTCGTTAGAGGCCACGAAGCGCTTCCAGTTCTCCCTCCATTTATTCACCTAAATAATGGGCAATTATAATAGAAAAACATTTGACCACAAAGGTAGAACTATTTCCTTAAACGCTGCCGATTAAAGTAGATAAACATTGACAATACAAATAGAGAAGGACGTTCTCGCACTTGGTTCGGAAGTAACTCGCTAGACATATCGATTTTTGTATTGCAAAGGAAGACATAACCAATTCCTTCTTGAGAACTAGTAGACCTTCACCAAAAACAAACATGCTAAACTGACTGCCTACTAGAGAGGAGGCCACGAAGAGCTTCCGGTTCTCTACCATACTGTTTTCAATTTTACCCAAGTGAACCAACAATGACGCAAGTCTAATAGACAATTCGCCCAAAATAATTTCTTACCTAACAGTCGTTCTTAAAATAAAATATTTCTTTCGTTACATAATTTCTGGTGGCTGGAGGAAGGACAAGAAAAGTAAGAAAAGTATTTTCGTGGAATATGTTATGAATAAACGTGAAATTTCATTCAGCCAATCATTATCCAGCTAATTTAGTCACTATAAATTTTGTGCTGGGTCACCTGATTTATGTTTATTTATCGTATAGAAATTAAATTTTATTAATTATTTTAATTATTTTACACTATAAATTATTCCATGTTATGACTTATAATGCTAAAGTATTGCCTCAATGCATCTGCCAAAGTTTCCGATAAAGCATTAATATCTCTTAAAACGACGTAATAATCAAAAGGAAATGTATCTAAATATCTTTCCATCTGTATTGTCATTCGCCCATTAACTGATTTGTATCTTACTTGATTCATTGATATGATAGAATCCTTTCCTGGTTTGTTATCAACTATTATAAATACTACCATTATTTGTGATTCAGCAGCTTGTCGAACAAGAGTTTTAAGATTTTCATGATCCTCACAAACACCATCCGAAATTATAAGCTGAAGTTGCCATAATTCTTTACTTTGTGCACCACTACTAAAATTATTCCTAGCGTTTTCCAAAAGTGTGATTGAGGTTTCCATGAGGGAACGAACATATGTTTTATTCTGTTCGAATGTAAATTGTTGTAATATTTGAGCTCCTGCCTCACTACTGAATGGACGGTCAAAAGGATGAAGCAATTGAACTTTTTCACCAAAGCTGATAATTGAAATATCTCCAACTTCAAGCTGCGAAAGTGCTTTGGAGATAAGTGCTAAAGTTTCATAAGCTAAATGAATCGAACGAGTTTCACACATTGATTTCGAATCATCAACAGCAATCATGACTTGATATTGTCTTTTACTCGGTTTGGTACGACGAAGCCATATTTTATCCTTTTTGAAATCACTAGCAATATATGGAATGATCTTTTTCATATTAAGACGTTTTCCAGTTCGATAATCGCCTTTAAGTTTTGTAGCAAGTGTTGGCTCAAGAATTAATCTTAATTGCTCACAGAGTCCATTTGATAGATCATGAGTAAGGATCTCATATTTATGCCACAATTCTCTAGCCTTGGTAATATCTCTACCAGATTGTCTCCAATCTGCTAATTTAACTTCTAAATCGTGACGTAAACTCATAATCTCTTCATAAGGTAAAGGTTCGTGCGCAAAGCGAGAAGAATCAAAACATTGAGGATTAGATTCTTCGTCGAATAATTGTTCATTTTCATCCTGTTTTAAAATTTGCTTAGAAAGAACAGCTCCCTTTTCATGTTCATTACTATAGTCATGATCATTCATTAGAAGGTCAAGAGACATTTCACTCTTATGTTGGTTATAGTCGATTTCATCGTCTTCACCTGCATAATTTGCATCATTACAGCATGGTTCATCATTATTGATAGCTCCAATCTCTTTTGATTGATCCTCTATTGCTGCTCCCATTGTCTGAAGGTCATGAGTTTCCTCATCGTTTTCAAGAAATTCGAACGTTTGATTTTCATTTATGACCTGCTCTGAGTCTTGCGCAGGGCTCTGTTCTTGTGAGGATGTGCGTTCATCTCCTTTAATTATATCGTCAAGACGACGTTTCCATTGTTCCAATGCATCTCCAAGACTTCGATGTGGATTGGCATCTTTTGGACCTTGATCACTTTCTTTATTCTGGTTCTCAATGACTTGTTCACTTTTATCTGATTCATTGTTATTATTCGAGGTTGACTCACCTCTATGCTTGAACCGTCGTGAATTATCATTATTGTTATCAGAGCCTTTATTTTCAATTTCTTTCAAAGATTGTTCGACTTCATTTCTAGAGGATGAATTATCTGCTTTACCAGATTCTCCGTCAACACCAAATGCATTTTCTGCTGGTGTATCAGAATTTGGTTGTTCTTGGTTAGATGAAGTATTCTGATCTTCTTTTTCAATATCCTTATCCTCAAATTGATTATCAGGCAAAGGTCGAATGTTACGATCAGGTGTTTCTTTTGACATTTCATCACCTTCAAAACTTTCTTGTTGATCTTCAACAATCTCATTACTTTCTTCGACACCTGTCCTTGCCTCATTAGAAACTGAATCATCAATTGGCACAATATCATCGGTTTCCATTTCATCAAAAGCCTCTTCATTGGATTCATTTTTATTATTTTCAATATCATCTTTTGTTTGTTGTGCATTTTCAACTACTGATTCATCAATATCCATATTCGAGGGTAGATCATCTCCATCATCCATGTTTTCATGATCACTCACGTCTCCTATATCATCAATCATCATATCCTCGGGAAGTTCTAAAGTTTCAGCTTGAGGTATATCAACATCAAAATAGTCATGTTTATCATTATATTCTTCGTCAGTATTATCGCCTTGGCCTTCTGATTCAATCAGGTCTTGTTGATTTTCATCTACGCCCATTTCTTCATTTATTTGGGAATTTTGTGTGGTATCTCCTTGATCTTCCTTAGCAACAACGTCCGTTTCATTCGGACATTCGGAATCTTGTTTAGTATCAGCTTTTTTCCCACTATCCTCTGCATCATTTGCAGAATCATCTCCCCACATTTTTTCATCTACAGCATCGGGATCGTTATCATCAAATTCACCGACTTGTTCTTCTATATCTTCGGAATTTTTTTCATCTGATTCATTATCATCTTGATTTCCATCATCATATATGTCTTCCATTGTTCCTTCAAAATCATTTTCCATTTCAATTCCTTTATCTTCTTTTGATTTCAGTTGATCGTCAGTTGAATCTTGGCTTTTTTCATTTTGATTTCCTAACACTTGTTCCTCATCCTCAATCTCTTCGCTTACATCCTTAGTACCTTCACCTTCTCCAATACCGGTACCTTGAACATTCTCATCGACATCACCTTCACCATCATTCGACTCCGTTTGTGGCATACAATATCCTTTCATGAAAACTGTAGCAAATGAATTACAAAGTACGTAGGTTAATTTGCATAATGACTTATGATGATAGATAAAGTCATTCAGATAATATTGAATGACTAAAGAGTATTGTTGAATAAACGGAAAGGTTCTTTGAAACAAATTTGAAATTAAATCTTGACAATCCAAGTTGTTAAACCTTTCGTCATCCATCAAATTAATAAGTAGATCATGTAGAAAGCTGAACCTTTCAAGGATCAAAGATATACGTAAATGCTTGCCAAAGTTCGAAACGCGTTTGTGTTCTTGAAGTATAAACCCATCAGGGATTTCCTTATTATCCTCATTTTCTTCTTCATTAACTGAAGAAATACTCGAAACATCTTTGGTTGATTCAGCGGAGAACTTTCTTAGATCCTGAATAGCTACGAGGATTACATCCATTAAATCATTGACTTTTTTGATAACATTACTAAGTATCATCATTGTCTGGTTTTCCGGATTCATTTCATTATGTACTGTTTCAGTAAAATGAAGATTTCCAATAGTATTTTTAATATAATCACAAATTGGCGTCAAAATATGATAAGAATGCTTATCTCGAGAAGATTTGGCAAATTGATAAAGATTATTTATTAACGCTACATTATCTTTGATTAGTATTATTATATCTTTTGTGATCACCGCCTTTTTTCCTGTAGAGTATTCTGGAAACAAAACGTCTCGATCAAACACACGAGCAAAGTCTTTACGAATTAAAGAAATTTTATCAAACCAACAATGTAATTCTGTTCCGAGCTCTTCAAAATTATTTGAATGTTCATACTGCTTTTGTACATCAAAAATTATACATGAGTGAGACAATAACGAGACCAGGTCATCCAAAATTTCCTTGAAATTCCACGACGAGCGCACGTCAAGTGAGTGAAATGACAAAAATTCTTGCACTTTTGTGTAGGAATATTCTGCATTATATGATGAATAAATCCTCGAAAATTGTGTCAGGACTCCTGAAAATCCAACGAATTGTTGATCAAGAACTTGCAGATGTTTACGTTCTAGAATTATAAGATACAACAAATATTCGGAAAAACCAAGTCCTTTTTGAACTTCCCGAGAGGTTATATCCTTTGAATGACTGACTGCCACATTTCGAAGATGAATCATCCTCGCAATAATCTTATAGTAATATTCATCAGCTTTTGTCCAGGTAGAAATGATATCCTTCCTTTCTTCAATAGATGATGGATTCTTGAAGTTACTTATCATAGGTAAAGAATTTTCCAATTCTAATCTAGGAAGCTGTAGCATATATCCAACAATATTTTGCTGCTGTTCAATTGTATTCTTATTAGGAAAGTAGTTCAATCCAAGACGTTTCAGCTCCCTCAAAAGATCAACCATGGATTTCTTTTTAATTAACTTTTGATTCTTTACGGAACTTTTATTGTCATCGTTCATTAAAGTTGGCGTATCTTCTTGAAACTTTTTGATACGTAAAATTATTTCGGTGGCAAAATCATCAAGAGCTTGGTTATAAACGGGTTGTCTTTTGATAAAAATGTCTTTACGACAATATGAACGAAGCTTCTCTAAAGTATTCTTGATATTTATAAAACGTTCAGGAATAGGCAAAGCTTGTTTGCTAATCGAATTTTGCAATTCTAAAGTTCTTTCGGCTAGCTCAATCGGTTCACAATCAGAAATCCATTTCTCGAGGGAATAATCCAAAGGAGTCATAACTTGCTCGTTAATAATCTTTTCTTTAGGATAAATCGTATTCACATTCGTCTGATAATCTGTTATAACATCCATGATTGGTTTGTTAAGAATATCTTTGTATTTTCGAATACATTTATTTAACTGCCTATGGGTTCTCTGGGCACTTTGTTTTAATGAATGAATATTAACATCTTTCCAACTAGCAATCTTCACAAATTGCTTCAACTCTTTTTCAATAGACTTACGAAATTCGTTCAAGGTATTGGCATTGTGAGTTAAAAATTGCCCATAATATTTATAAATATTTAACAATGCATCAGCAGCCTTGGAGTACAGTGAGACATGCGTAGAATCAATAAGTACTTTAGTATTACTCCTCGTGTGAAAACAATCTTTAATACAAAGTTGCAAATAAAAAGCATGGATCAATTCCAATCGACCTTTGAAATCACCCATTCTCGAGGATTGTAAAAATTGATCAAGTGTTCGTAGTATTTCAGAGATATGATCCTTGAAAATTTGATCAGTTCTTTCGGATATTTCAACATTGATACTAAAGGAATTTATAGGATGAATGATACAACTATAAAGGTGAAACCACCACTTGGATGCAGACCTCTCATAATACTCATTTTGCGCAGTAAGTAAGTTTGGCCAACAAGTCAACTCTAATTGACGCCATTGTACGATAAGAAATGTAATCTTTTCTCTATGGAGCTTTAATGATACATCACGATTAGCATAAGCTTCCCAATCTTCTGTCTTTTGTAATAAGATTTCTAATCCAGTGAGAAATTTTGCAAGAGGCGAACTTAATGCGAACCCCTGAATTCTTTCACATATTGTAAAAAGATGTTGAAGAACAGCGTGCTCAGGCCACATTTCAAGTAATTCTTTGACGCGTTGTTGAAGCTCAGATATTATTGGTACCAACTTCTTGGATTCGATGATATTTTGATCTTTATAGAAATCATACATTCTCACAACATTTTTGGCATTGTTGCTGGTATCGTCCCCAGGCTCGATACCGTCAATTAACCATTTTTTCAAGAGAAACGTTCCTAGAATCTGAGAAGTTGCGATTGCTTCGTCAAATTCTTCTGGATAAACATTACCAGCGATCAACGATAAATCTCGCGCCATAACAAATGATTTCCAGAATACTTGTTGAGTTGACAAGTCATGATCCAAAGTCTTCCGCGATTTCAAGTCGAAATCAGTCATAAGCTTTGAATATAATTTTCCTATCTCAAAGAGAATTTCCTCATTCACAATTGAGACATTTTCCTCAAATTGAGTGAAATCTGCATTTCCTTTATTATCGGAATCAATCATTGTATCATCATTTATATCCGCGAAATCATGACTAAAATCTGGAAACATTTGCTTGAATTCATATTCGGAATACTGTTCTTCGGTGATGTTATTGTGTGTTTTTGTTTTGTTCCTATATAAACTTTCATTCTCTTGAGCAATTTTATTTTTTTGTTCTTCAGCAGCAGCATAAATATCAGAAATTTCTCCAAAAATACGTTGGATGGTATCAAAATCTTCAAGGATAATATTTCCACGTTTTGATATATTATAATACATACAATACAAAACGACGATGAGATATTTGAGATATTGATCCCATTTGTCTGGCTTAGAATGTTGAGAAAAGATGAGATCTTTGATCATCACAAATGATTCTTGAGCTGTAATAATGTCAATGCATTCTTTAGGACATCCTAACTTAGTTATATCTATCAAAGATTTCACAACTTTATATATTAATTTGTCACGTGTAACAACTAAATGTTTGCAGATAGTAGTTATAATTCGAACCCCGTATTTAATTTGATGAAGAGCAACATATAATGGTTGTAATAAATCTTGATAAAGGGGATAGTTTGTTGACATTCGTTGGATGAATTGCATTAATTTTTCCTGAAGCAAACTTTCCCGTTGAAGAACAGCCGAATCATTTCCATTCTCAAAATCACTCAAAAGTTCCAATATATGTCGTTCATCAATGACATTACTACAAATGTAATGAACATGTCTGAAAAGTTCATTAAGTTGCGACTGTTCAGGTCTTAAGGATAAGTTAACCGACGCATGTCCGAAAAGTAATTCAATTTTCTCCAAATTTTTTCTGCAGTCTTTTATTTTGCGATTTTCACATTCTCCAGTGAAACTTTGTTCGATCTTTGTTCGAATATCAATTTCACGCTCCAAGTTAGATTTTTTGAACAAAAGAAATTGACACCTCAAACGTGCTTCAGCTGTCGGATCAAGTGGGAAATTTGGTATGTATAAAGAAATAAATCCTAAAGAAAGAAAGATCCAAACTTTGCCTATTTTTTGATAAGTATTTTCATTGAGTTGTAACGGATTATACTCTTTTAATATTTGAATCATCAAAAGAATCGAGGGTATCACCCATTGATCTAAAACACTCCGCAAAATAGGATCAACTATTTCTTTAAAGCTACTAGACACAACATGAAGAGACTCTAGTGCCATTGAAACCGTTAGTGATTCATTATCGATGATATTGTGATTTAACGAGGAATTAACAAAATCAGTAACAATATCAAGTCTTCCATTAATTTCACGGAAAATCTCTTGTGGAAAACTCTCCTTTAATGAGATAAGAATCTAGGAAGAAAAATGATTATTATTATTATTATTAAAAAAAAATAAAGATAATGTTTATGAAATGAACGGCTATTTACTTACTTGTTTAAGTTGTTGAATAAGACATGCCAAATCCATACATCTTCTATTGACTCTAGACAGAAATTCATCTCCGGTGTGTTTACAATATTCCACAAGTTGGGTTTGTATGGTATTGAAAGAACCGATTGACATGAACTGTATTCGATGGCTATAAAATAAAAACTAGATTAGAACATTATTCTTGATATCAACTCAGGTGGAATGAATTCTACTTGCGTGTAATTAAAATAATAAAATCCTAAAACGCTTTGAAATAATCTCCCAGGCCCTCCAGTATTCTAAAGTTGGAAATGGATAATCAATAACTTGATTGCAATTTAAATAAAAAAAAAAGTAACATACCTTTACTAATAGATTTGTAACTAAATTCTCTTCATTAATATCTAAATTGTTGAACGAATTATTCCATACTCGATTGTGCCATCCATATATAATATCTTGTATGATATTATTGAATATCATTTCCGATTTATTATCTACTAATAATTAAGAATGTGTCATTGTTGAATTTCCGAATTATCGTGTAAATATTAATGTTTTCAACATATAATCACCTTTAGAACCAGGTCCGTATATCCATAAAAGTCGTTGGTGAGGGACAAAATCTAAAGGAAATCGGGAGCAATTTTTTAAAGAAAAATCGCGAAATTCCGAGATTTGAGTAATAATCTCGCTATAACTTTCCTTGATAAAATAAATAAAAACATTAAACATGAAAATAATTTAAGCAATAACATGTATATTTTACTTTTTCGGTGAATCCTACATTGTTCAAATCGGTTTCCTGTGAAGCTACCAGCTGTAATCGTAATATAATTTGCATCTCCCGAATTAAATTAAAATAATCCATTAAGCAAGGTAATGGGTTGATTTGTTCTACGGAATGTGATTCTCCACGCGAAATTTGTAAATGTTTTTGAATATGCTATTTAATAAAGAAATAAAATAATGTAATCAATTTATATAGTTATAATGGATAGTTTATTACACAATCAATACTTGCCTCGGGAATCTTTTGTAAGGAAGTTAACAATTCGGTCGATTCAGTAGTTTGATTTTCATTAATGAAATATAACGTTGCAACTGCATCTATCAACATCACTTTTAACTCTACATCTCTTTCATCATCTATTGATAAGGTTGGTTAGATATAAGTAAATGGATAAATCGACCAAAAGATTAAATAAATTCTTCTTACCCTTAAATTCCAAGTTTGTGTCAGAATTGATCCCAACTTCAAAGAATTCTTGTTTTAATTGAAACAAATCAATTCTTGAAAGTGTTATATGATGCAAACGTTTCCATAGAATATTCATATATTTTCCTGTCGTTAATACAGTGCTCTCAGTTATGCTATCAAATACATTAAGCAAAAGTTTGGCGTGCTCATCAAATTTATCAACCAAACGCTTTAAAATTTCTTTAAAAATTTTGGTGTTCACATATAATTCACCAAGATCAAGAGAATTTTGTTGCAAACATTCCCATAAAAATTCGTGATAATCAAACAAACTATTGAATAATTCAATCTATAATAAATGAAATGTTAGCTTTTAAAGAAATATTTTCTAAGGTACAACTTCATGATTATTAAATAATCTTACGTCAATTTCCTCGTAATTCCCTCGATTTATCCATAATCTTACAAAATTTTTAAGTTCTTGTAAGAATGGAAAAAGATTAGCAACAACTCTATTACTTAGTTGTTCCTCTGATAAATTCCCGTGATTATAACGATATGACTGTTGGGATAAAGTCAACTTGGACACCTTTTCTCGTGATGCCTTTTCATAAGAGAATCTTTCGACGTAATCTTGTCTTTGCAACCTTTTCATAAGGTTAAAAACTTTAATCTTAATAGAATATTCATTCCACAAATTATATATTGTCTCACTCTTATCACTATTGTGCTTGTTATGTTCTAAGCAACTGATCGATTTAACTAAAGGATCATTGCTAATTATATCAAGTGGCTAAAAAATATATATAATAACAAATTAATTAATTAATTAAATGAATTTAAAGCAATATGACATAAATGTATATTCACCTGACATGACATGTGAGATGTATCCAAATCAATGGACTTTGCTAACCGATTTTTAATTTCGTTTAAATACGAAACGAGTGGATGCTCGATCAAGGTATCATTCATGAATTTAATATATTCTAAGACATTTACATCTTGATTTACCACCAAATCAAATGAACGAATTAGATAAGAGACAAAGTCAAGCCAACGATTCCTCATAGATATATCTTCTAAAGAAGTATTTTCAACAAAATAGTCACAAGCTACCAGTAATTCTTTTAAAGGCAAGTCATTTAGGCCCAACTTGTCTAAACCATACTTGAACATAAGGTGTATCAAATAAGACCCTTGGGAATTGATCATAGACAATTTTGCTTCTTCCTTAATAAAAGAACCCCCATTAAATATTGGGTAATTCGTAGGGGATAAAGTGTGTATCAAGGCATTTTCTTTGAATTTCTTTGTAAAATCTTGAAGATACATCATTAGTCCATTTGGGACGTGGTTAAAAAAATAAACCTGTCGAAGGGCCTTATGTAACGAATGTGATAAACCTTCTCCTCGCTGAAGCATCTCAATAATAAATTGAGAAAATAAAATATATTCTCTTATACTTGGTTTCATGCTACTTAGCATATTAAAACTTTCATCCACATTAAATTGAAAATTATTAATAAAATCAGGAAGTTCTGAAATACGAAGACCAAGACCATTTCCAATTTTAACCATATCTCGCTGATTTTCGAAAATTTCTGTCTTCAATAAAAAAATTTCCACGCCACGATTTCTCATTGCTCTTGATAATTCACCATTTCTTGGATTAGTAGTCATAAATAACCTAAAGTTTTTATGTGGTCGAATAATTTTCACATCACCATCTATAAGTCCCCTCTCATTCACCATCAAAGCTCCGTTTGGTTCCATCAATGGATTAAGCCTGTCCAAAACAGATGGATTACAAAGGTTGGCGTTATCAATCAACAACCAATGACCATTATTAAGCGCGTTGATAAGAACTCCATCGATCCATTCAAAACGACCAGTTACCGGACCATTTTCAAGCGATTTAAGTGTTAGAATTTTATCCATTATAGAGCGTAGAGAACTTTGATGTTCATTATCAAATATTGAATGCAAATCGTACCCGATTATTATTTGTTGTAAAGTACCTAACAATTGATCGATTATTGCATAATCTAACTGAGACGAATAATTCTGACTAGTTATTGTACTTTGAGCACTACTTGTACTAAATTTAAGATGATTTTCTAAGGTAAATATTATATCGTTAAGCTCTCGCACGACTTGTAGCGTATTGCCTGAATGCGAAATAAGAAGAAAGTCCTTTGTCACCTCAGTGGTTAATCGTCTTAATTCATCGACAACTACTTGTCGATGTCTAGCCAAATCCACTTGTTCAAATCCACCAAGTAATTCAATTGTATCAACCGAACTATTCATCGCAAACTCCTCAAGATAATTTCCAGTTAAATTAGCTAACAATCTAACAAGACTTGTTTTCCCAATTGCTTCATGCCCAGTAAGAATTACCATCCAATTAAATTCTACACATTTCATTAAGGACTCTAACGGTTTTAAGTGAGAATGCAATATATGAAGTGAATTCCCCATAGATTTATATCCATAAGCAGGTCGACGATTAAGAAGGGAATGACCAATCTGGATATAGCGTGAATTAATATTAAAATAAGGATTCTTTGGCTGTTTATAGCTTGTTTCAAAAATTTCATTAAATAAATCAATAACACGATTTCTATCTTCAACAGTTCTCATTCTCTGCAAATAAATTAGGTCCAGATATTGATCAGGAGTGGAATTAAACCCGAGACCCTTATCATCATTTAAAAGCTCTAACCAGCGAAAAACATCACGTAAGTTAAATTCCCAAGGAGATCCATTTCTACCAAATAAACCCTTAATCATAGTGTCTTCATACATTCGATTGTTAAAGTCCAATATTTTCCCTAATAATGATTCATCAAATTGAGGAAATAGAGATTTAGCAATAAAAAGCATATCAGTCTTAGTAAGATGCTCTATGTAAACTTGAGTAAATCGATTGATAAAGGACTTCGGAAGCCCTTTTCTTCCTCCACCTTGATGTAAAGGATTCTGAGCGCCAAAAACACGGAATTCTTTAGAACATATGAATTCTTTGTCTAGTTCAGGTATATAAGCAGAACCACGATGATCTAAACATGAATTGAGACCTTCTAAAACTGATTGAGAAGCAAGATTTAATTCATCTAAAAGAACCCAATCCCCAGATTTCATTGCTTGAAGAAATGGTGCATCCCTCCATGCAAATTCGCAATTACCACCACCTTCTACGGGAAGATCAGAACCGAACAAATCCATCAAATCTGTTTGCTCGGATAAATTAATTCGAACGAGTTTATGTCCAGATGCTGCTGCTAATGCCGTGATTAAACTAGTTTTTCCTACTCCCGGACTTCCTTCCAATAATATTGGTTTCTTTAATTGCATAGCACGAAGCACACGCATTGCATTATCCAATGTCGTTGGCGCTTGCAAGGTAAAAGTAATTTGATGACTACCAAGCGTTCCTTTTGGTATATAAAATGGGTGGATTCCGAAAAATGACTCGGTAGAAAGAATTTTGCCTACATTGTTTTCACTTGCAAAACTTCGATTAACGACATTATCTTGTTTAAGATCACAATTCAAATCTATTAATTTTGCAAGACATTTCATTCGAAATTCCTTCAAAACTTGTCCAGATAATAATGACCCTGTTGTTGCATTGGAACCAAGACCATCAAAAAAAACAAGATATCCACCATGAATAAAAGACTCGTGTGAACCTAATTGTTCTATTGTAGAGTTCATGAATAAAACCCATGATAAAATATCTCGCAAGCTAATGGTGATAAGTTTATTGCCCAATGCATGAGAAAACCACTCTATAAAGTCAAGGATCTTTTGGCCATATCCTACCAAACTTTCATGTACGAAGCGTGACTCAATTATTTGCAATAAATCTTCACGATCTGCAACAGAAGGCACCCAAATTTCCGTGAATCGATTCCTTAATGCTGGTGACAATTCTTTCTTACCATAGTCACCACCAGGATTCATAGTTGCCAAAAATTGAAAACCGTCTCTTGCAACTAACTCTTCGACATGTTTACCACCTTTTTCTGCTAGCACTAAGATCCTATTTCGTTCAAGGACACTGTTGAGACGTTCGATAACAGAATCATCTGCCAAGGAAATCTCATCTAGTAAGAAGTTATTGCCATTTTTCATGGCTTGAACTAATGGACCATCATGCCATTCAAACATTGTGCGAGTCTGTTTACACCTCATATGTAAAGAAGCCATGGTATTAGCAATCTCTCCTATATCTTCACCGAACTCTTCTGTCCATTTCTCGTCTTTATAAAAATCCTGAAATAAAGTAGTCAGTTGATTCAGATCCATATCCTCTAAACATGTATTGTCTTGAGACACGTATTTTCTTAAAAATTCAATCAAATCGCGCTTGAGATCATTATTTACATTCCCTCTATTCCTTAATGGCCTTTGACTACCAAGTAAATCAGCCGTCTCGGTACTATGATGACAATTAACGATATGTAACACTTTATCATTTACCTCTGCTAACATTTGACACACTGTTGTTTTTCCACAACCAGTTTCACCAACTAATAAAACAGGTTCATTGAATTTCAAACATTGAGCAACTAAAGTAAATAAACGTTTCATAGACTTAGTCCACACGATATCAGTTTTGTCATGTCTCAAAGAAATATATTTTTTAAACTCTTCCAAATTTGAACAATCATATATTTTTTGTTCGTCAATTATTACTTTCATGACTGATTCTAAAACTTGTTTTACAATCAACTTCTCATCGGGTTTCCTTACTCTCTCAGCCAAGAGCATATATCCTTGCTCTGCTAATTCCTGATACCCCACAGCACCTCTCTCAGACCAACGGAACAAATCTCTCAAAGTAATGTATCCATGTTTTTGTTCAAAGATCCTTGTTCCTTGCCTTTTTGCCATCAAATGTTTATATACTTGTACAAGTCGTTTACAATAAGATGGAGCAATTTTACACCTTTCTGAAAGAATGGTTTCTAATTCATCCTCCGGAATGTCATCAAAATGCAATTCCAAAAATCTATTGCGAAAAGCACGTGAGAGAACTTTACGGCCTCCATATAATCCAGGAGGATTCTGAGTTGCAAATAACATAAAATCTTTATGTGGTTTAACAATTTCTTGAGTTTCTGGAACTAACAATTCTCTGTTATCATCCAATAATCTATTTAAAGCTTCCAATACATCTGTTGGTGCCAAATTTAATTCATCCAGCACAATCCAATACCCTTTCTTTAAAGCTTCAACTAGCACGCCTTCTTGAAATTCGAGTTTACCTTCAGAATTAGAAACATAAGTTCCTAGATATTCTTGAATGTCTGTATGTTCATGATTATTAATTCTCACAAAACGATGTCCAGTACGCTTAGCTAGATATTGAATCATACTTGTTTTACCAGTTGAAGTAGGACCTTGAATTAGAACTGGAAATTTCCTACTCATGACAACTCTTGAAAGATTGTCCAAATTATTTTTAACAGATGGTGTCAAAATATAGTGAGGCATATCTTCGACAGGAAAATCTCCTAATTCGAGCCAAAAATATCCAAATTGAACGTAATTACCATTCGTAGGAAGTTTAGGAATTTGGGTAATCAAATTCCTTTGATTTTTAACACCATTTAATAAAAATTTTTCTACCAAACCCTTTAACAAAATCTCACTTTCTTTATTTAATTGTGTTAAAAATGTCATACAAAATCCCTCATACATTGATCGTCTCAAGCCATAAGATGATGCTATTTGTGCTACGTAACTTAACGCACGAGTTAATGTTCTAATACTGAAATGAGGCATTTGATTTGCACCATCAGCAATTAAATGTTGCTTTTGTAATTCTTTGACAGCGACATAAAAATCTACAATATCTTCACACGCACGCTCATCACCATGAACGCAACCAACTATATATTGTTTGACTATAGCCAACAAATCATCACGTCTTTTATCAGGAGGATGAACAAACAGCTCAGTAAATCGATTTCTCAACCCTGGGGGTAAATCTCGCTTACCCACATCAGTAGCAGGATTCATACAAGCAAAAATACGAAAGTTTGGATGCCTTTTAACCGGTTCGATATCACCTTTTTCGGTCAATAAAAGTGAACCTTGGGAATCTTGAAGTATACCACTCAAACATTCCAATGTTTCTGTAGTTGCCAAATTAATTTCATCCAAAAGTATCCAATCACCTTTTGTTACCGCTTTTGCTAATGAACCTTCTACAAAACTAAAAACGAATTTATTACGTATTTGATCCTGTCGACTTACAAACTCGTTAACCGAATTTTCAAATAATTTCCAACGATTCCGTAATTCAGGATTTGAAGACTTTCGAGAAGGATGATTTTGCAAAGAATTAATGCTTTGATCATCCATGTTTGTATCCTGATTTTGATCTCCATTGAATTTTTGTTCCGCCATTTTAATAGCTTGCTTCAATAGAGATACAAATTTATCGTATTTCTTAATAACATATACTTTTCGGACAGCTTCCAAGAAACGTGCATTTCGCCGAATAGAAAATGTCTTTTCAAAAAGTTTGTCAAATTCCTCTTTAATGGGACATGCAAGGACTCTAGCATCAACGGGTTTGAAACCTCCAAGAAGATCACTACTGTCACTTTGTTGAGATAAATTCACAACCACAAGTTTTTGATACATAATTTCTGCAAGATATTGAACCACCGTTGTTTTACCTGTACCAGTTTCTCCAACCAACAACACAGGTTCACATAAATGAACACACACAGCAATTTGTTCCATCAATTTTAAAGCATGGCCAGTAAAAGCAAAAGGTCTTTTTTGCAATTCTCGTTTAATTATATCTTTTTTTCGACCTTTAGGAACTAAATTAACCCTTCCAATCGATATTATCTTATCATCAATTTTCATATCGGGTAAGTATGAATTTACGTATAAATAAACCCATTCCTTTGATATTTGAAGTGCGTCGCCAAGCCTTTCCAAAATCGCAATCCAACTCTCATAGTTAGAAATCATCGAACAAAAACAATCAGCCGCTTCTTTAAACAAATCTTCTCTTATATTCTGCTCTATTTCCCGAGATGTAATTACATTATTCCTTGAAACCAAAAGAACCTCTATTCTCTCACACCACTTCATCAAATCACGTGTTGAAATATATCGTACTAAATTCGACGAAAACGATGATGAATCATGATAAACAGATATTACAGTATTAAACACATTCATAATATCTGTTACCAGTTCTTGTAAAATGGTAAAACGATTTCTAACAACGTAAGTTAACTCATCGTTGCTTAGTGGATCGACTTTGATTTGAGTCCAAAAAGTATTGCCAAAACTTGAATCATTTACACGTTGATGTATTAATCTTTTTCCACCGTCAACCGGCAACAAGCTTTTTGTTGCGAATAATTGAAATCCTTGCTTCGCATTAATCTTTTCACCTCTACTAGGTATAAAAAGTTGACGCGTTTCAAGCAAAGGGAGAAGAACTGATAAAACTTCCATAGGAGCAAGATCTATATCTTCAATTAAAACCCACCGTCCATCACGAACTGCAGTCGTAAGGATACCAGGTTGCCAACGAAAAGAAGCAGGAGTAGATGTAGAAACATAAGTTCCTAAAAGAATTTTTGAGTCTGTTTGATCCCCTAAATGAATTTTTACAAGATCATGTTCACGTCCGGATATTCTTGCAATTTCCTCGACCAAAGCGGATTTACCCGCTCCAGTGACGCCTTCAAGCAAAACCGGGGATCCAATTGAAATCGCCAAACAAATGGAGTGCAAATTACATCGGGTCGTATCTGTTAAAACAAGGCGCTGCTTATTTGATACAGATCTCTCCGAACAAATAAATGACTTTGGCAATAACACTCCAGAAATATTCACAGTCAATGAAGACAAATCTGATTCATTAAATCGCCAATATTCTGAAAATTCTTGACTCGTAAAATCATTTAATAGGAGATGTGATTGTTGCTTTGCAAGTGATACTTGCTCCAAAAGCCTTAAATAAATAATTGTTACGTAAAGATGTGATCAAGGTAATTACAGAGAATGGAAATCGTAACTTACGTTAACATTCTAATATCCTGTGTACCTCCATGATTCCATTCAATTGAGATTTTCTCATTATTTGCGCCAACCCAAAATTGAAGTGCCTTTTCCCTTTGTTCATCACTCATATTGAATACGATACTTAAACACCAAATTGATAAATATCGTATTGTCTTATTAGCATGAACCAACAATTGAAAAAGAGGTGACCAATTCCACAATTTTATAAATGTGCTTCCAGAAAACCTCAAAAGTCGATAAGCTGTTAATAAAAGTTGTTGTAAATCTTTAATTTCCCTGGAATTCTGAAATAACATAGATAATTAAGAATGATGCAGAAGCTAGTGATTATAATCTGAAATTATGATATCGTACCTCACCGTTTATTAAGATATCTTCTTGATTTAAGAAGTTGAGTCTTTCTAGTAATGAGGGTGTTTGTGAAAAGAATGTAACCGCAAAACTAATGTAATGATACCAAAGAACCATAATAATAATTAGAAGAAAAATAACTATAAAAAAAAAAAAAAAAATTAAACTCATTACCTTAAAAGTTGAGGCGTTGTAGGAAGTAATAAACTAAATGCATTAGCAACACTTTCAACCTTTGACACGGCATCGTAATCAACTTTCATAATGTCATTATTATCGTTTGATAATAACCAACGCGAAACCAGATCAATTAAAATTGGTCGAAATAAATTAGCTATAATAAGAGTTAATGATGGATTCAAAAGCAAATCTGATATACAATCTAATACTTTATTAGTATCCTTTGATTCATAATTAATATTATTTATTATGTATGAGTTCAAAATTTCACATTGCCTCAAATTAACCACCAAACATTGATTTTGTAGATTAATTTGTTCAATTTTTGATAACAAAGTTTGACAAGCGGTTTTCATGTCGATACTTAAAGGATCATATAAATTAAATTCATTTAATATACACTTTTCCTCTTCAATATCCACCTCCATATTATTATTTGATAAAATTTCTTTCTGAAAAGTCATAATTCAAGCAAATTTGATATCAGAGGCTGCAAAAAAAAAAAAAAAAATTTCAATCAATTTATATGTTTGATCTACCAATTAGAATTCGATTCATATGGGCCGATTTGTCTCACATCACTAATTAATAAAAGTGATAAATGTGACATGTCAATATACGAAAATAGTGAAAATAATGATGATATATTTTTGATTTCGCTTTTAAGCCAATTGTCAAAGACTTTCGTAATGTTAAAACCTGTCGGTAATTGGTTTGGAAATAGTAAGTGGTATTGTAAAATTATTTAATTTAAATATTAGAAAGGTTATTTGGTAAAATGGCAAAAATAACTCTTATTACGTTAGAAATAAAAATGAAAATAATATGTTTCCTATATATTTTTTAGATAGCATTGAAAGGTTCTAAAAAAAATCTTTTTATTATTATAATTTTAATTCTTATTTATTTTATTACAGGTTTTATAGGACGTTTTTGTTTTATTTTATTTACTACCATGATGAGATATCTTTAAAGGGATATAGCTATAGATAAACATGCAGAGTTTAGACAATTTTAGTATTATTAGAAAGAGTCTTGTTTGTCCTCTTAGAGCATTAAAAATTATTTAAATTGGATCATAGGAAGCTTGGATAATAATTTTTGAGCATATTATAACATTTATTTATAGTTTTCGTGATTTCTCATTCTTCTGTAATTCATTTTGAACAATTTTACTTTATAAAAACAGATATAATGGTTCTTTTCAAGTGGTTTATAAAATAATTCTATTTATTATGAAATTTGTGTGGTTAAAATTATAAAAATTTTTCTTTTTGAATTCTTTTAACGAAATTTTTTTAAACGGACTTAAGCTATGGATAAATGTGACAATGATCGACAGCCCACAGGTGATATAATTGAAGTGAGACAGATCGGCCCATATGCATTTACGAAAATGTTTTGAAAGAGATCCAACTCTTTGAAAGAAACCAAATTTTCCTCAATATAATCGTAATTGAAGTTTACTTAATAGTATCTTAAGTTAAAATTCGATATCAAATGAGTATATTCAAACCGTTAAATTTTGATTTTTTTTTTTTTTTATTGTAACAATTAATGAGAAAAAATCAATTCGAAAAGGCCCAATCTGATTTACAGAATTTTTAATGGGAACATTGAAACATTGGGACGGTCTCAAAAGGCTGGGATGTAGAATGTACAATGACGCACATTACCTATTCTAAAAGAGGCAACGCCATATGTAAAATTTCAATTTTGTTCTTAAATAAAGTATCGCTACATTCAATACAACCAAATTAAGAATTGTTTTGCCGATCAAAAAAAATTGATTTTTTAAAAAAGTATCACGTATAAAAAAGTTTTGATAAAAAAAAAACTGTTCATTTTACCCAATTGAAAAAATAAATATAAATTTTATTTGAAAGATTTGAAAGTGACCAATATATGTTTCCAATTGTCAAACTTTAATTATTTTATCCTATAAATGGAACTTGCCAAAGACAAGTTGATGAAGAAACTTATGGTAAGACACGAAAAGAAATTATTGGTTTGGATATAGTTTAGAAGGAAAATTTAGACCTTTTTGGATTTGTTCGCTATTTTATGCGCTCTTGAAGAAGCCAATTTTTTTTGTTTCTCGCTCGTCACATAATGTTTTTTTCCACGCATAGTTGTTTTGGCGTGATTCGGTATTATCGAACGATATGGATTCTCCTCTTCGTCAATGAACTATTAAATTCGTTTAATTTGGAATTAAAAAAATTCTTTCTTTTTGGAATTTTCATCACTTTTTTCCAATTTCTTTTTCGGTTCTAAAATCACTAAATTTGCAATTGAATAAATATGAATTCATGAATTTTAAGGGTAATTACATATATTTTTATATTACTACTAGATAAAGCAATTAATATAATAATATTATTACCAGGAGAGGGTAGACATAAAATTATATGAAGCGAGATATACTATCCAAAGCAAATTACTCGTAATTATTTTATTCATCCTCAGCAATTTAAACTAAGTAACAAATAACTAACATTTTTCTCTTTCCTTTTTTTTTAATAGAAAAATCTTGCCGTATTTTTTACGAAATTTCGAGACTTAACGAAAAAAGGATCCTCTTATTGGTTGGTGTATTTTACACCTTATACAAATATGAATATAAAGTATTCACTTTTTTACTTCATAAATTTTTTTTCTGCAAATTTAATTTGATTTGATTAAGATACAACTTACTTTGTTAAAATTTTTTTGAATGTTGAATTTATTTGATCTGTAACACAATCAAAGCATTGTTTAAATCCTAAAACAAAATGGATTAACATTGGGATCAAGGAATTTTGTTTAAAAGGTTTTAAAAATTAATCCAGGATTAACATTAACAAAAAAAAAGTATTTAGAATCTATTTTTGGATCTTAATTATCCGTGTTTTTACACCAAAAATTTTACGAAGAAAAAAAAAGGTGAGTATCATGTTATTATTTTATAATGAAAATCTTTCCCGTTCTAACTTTAACATATAGTATTTGTAATTTTATATCATTGAAGCTTATAAGATATAATCATGACTAGTCAACAAGTTTTGTCTAATGAAGATGAAGATATTACCGAATTTATTCTAAATGCACAACAAAATGCTAAGGATGAACGAGAATTTTTAGAATTGATACCTTACGATAGATTAGTAAAAGTAAATTACCTTACCAAAGGTGGATTTAGTACTATTCATAAAGCCATATGGTTGGATGGACCAATAGTTAATTGGAATCATTCTAAAAAACAAGGGGAAAGGTCGAATAAAAAAACCGATGTCATTCTTAAAAGTTTTAATAATCCTTCAAATTTGTATGAATCTTTAAAAGAGGTACGATATTAATTCTAATACAAATTTCATCTTGATTAAACATTAATTACGTTTAAATTATTTTATCATAGTGGAAATATCATCATGATTGTTATAAAAGATCACATTCTAATCTTATTCAATTATATGGAATCACTCGGAATCCAGATGATTTAGAATATAACATGGTAATGAAATATGCAAACAAAGGAAGCTTAAGAGAAAGTTTACCTAATATAGCCACTTTTTCATGGGATAAAAAAGTCGAGTTGTTATGTAATATTATCACTGGACTTGACGCAATACACCAATCAGGTTTCGTTCATTGTGACCTTCATGACGGTAATATTTTAATAAACAGTAACCCTACTTCAAATTATATTAGCGATTTGGGATTGTGCAAACCCAAAAATTATCATCAACTTTCTACAAATAATAGCGATAGTATTTACGGTGTTTTACCTTACACAGCACCCGAAGTATTAAGAGGATCTCCTTATACTCCTGCGAGTGATATTTATAGTTTTTCTATGATAATGTGGGAAATTATAACAGGAATTCCCCCATTTTATAATATAGCACACGATTTTGAACTTGCCTTGAAAATTTGTTTAGGTGAACGTCCTAAAATTCCTGAAAATATTCCAAGTTATTATATAGATTTAATGGAAAGGTGCTGGGACTCCAATCCATTAAACAGGCCAACTGCAGAAGATGTTAAAAAGATTATCGAAAGGTTTGATTCAGAAGAATTTTGGAATGCAGAAGTAGATTGGGTTTCATCAAACAAGGAAAATTTCCATAAATCGCAAACATTAAACAACATTTCAGAGACGATATCAAGAGAAATAATAGTAAATCATATGATAAAAACCAATTATTGCTCTCAGGTTTACTTTTTTCCTCAAACTTCTTGCGATGATTATATGTTTTAATTTATTTTATTAAAAAATATTATCTTTTTAATATAATGAATAGCTTGCAAAACGTTAATCAAATTTGATTTAATATTAATATAAAACTTAATTTTAATTAGAATATTCTTTTCTTTTTTTAAAAATATATATATATATATATGTTTTATATAGTTATTAGAATAGAATTTTTTTGCTTTTTAAAAGTATATTAATTTTAAAAATAAAATGTTATTTAATATTTTTTATAATATTTACTTCAAAATATGAAATTATATGTGGGATTTTTGCTATAGAAAAGGGAAAATTGTCAGAAAAAGTAAGATAATGTCAAATCTGAATATAATTTAGCTTAACAATCATATTTGGCATATAAAAATCAAAATTGATTTTTTCTGGCAGTTTTACTTCTTTTTACTACAAAGATCTCATATGATTATAATATTATAATATATAATTTGATTAATAATTAATTATTGTTCTAATCTAATATTAGGAAATTGAATAATTTTAAAAAGTTTTAACAGGTTTTGAATACATTTTCCTATATTCAAAACCTTATCTAACTACAGTCAACTCTTGTTATAATGAACTCTGTCCTAGACCTCAACTTCACTATAAGACTATAGTGAAGATTTTAAGAGATTTGATTAGCCAATTCGCTATAATAAGAGCATTTTCATTATATTTATTCAAAAAATTTGTTATATCAAGAGTTTGCTATATCAAGAGTTGACTGTATATCTATTATACATTTAATGTCATTTAATTATTATATACATCTTATGTGAACATGATCCTTTTTCATAAATATTATTGATTACTTTTATATTAAAATAAATTAACTTCATTTAAATATACAAATTCTATTTATTTATTATTAGAATACACAAAGTTTAATTATTTTATTATTGAATATACTAATTTTAATCACTTTATAATAAGTAATCATATTATTTATAATTATGTTAGTTTTAGATTAATATTTAAGTTATAACTTTATAAAGAAATAATAGATGAAAATTTAATTATAATATTATTATTAATGAATTTCAGTTATTAGTACTAAATAAATGCTTTCAATTTTTATTATAAGAAGTAATCATTAGGAAATTAGAGTGATAAAATGGTATAAAAGGTACTATTACATAAGTCTTTATATTTTTGATATATTAACTTAACTTGAATTTTAAATATTTTGTGTTGCAGAAGCTTAAGTTTGAGTTTGAGCTATAGAAATTTATA